TATCATAAAATTTCAAAAAAAGTTCAAAAAGTGTACACATTTTTTCAGTACAAATTTTTTCAATTATTTATTTTCATGAAAAATGAAATAATTCAACTAGCTAAATACATGATGAATGTTTTACTTGAAATAATTATGTAATAAATTTTGAATAAATATTATTATTATCTTGAAGTTTAGGTTTGTTAAATTGACTTTGATATAATGCAAAAAAAATAAATTTAAAATGATTAAGAAAATTGTCTAAAAATCAATGAAACTTCCAAAGTAGCAATAAACAAAAAAGAAGATATTTTAAAATTTTTGTAACAAGGTATAATTCAATAGTTGTGATTTTTTCATAGTAAATAAGAGAAATATTTATTTATCTTTGTATCTCTATTTTATGAATATATATTTATATGCTTTTCATTTTCTTCAGATTTTTTTATATCAAGTTGACATTATCACTACTTTATACAACGATAATTAGATTGATAAAAGCTTTCTTAAATCAATCTTCAAAGTTTGTGAAAAAAAACCTAAAACATATGATGTGCTTATATTTGAATTCTGTGCATAGATAAAAAAAAACGCTAAAAAATCAGATTTTTAATTTGATAAGTTTAGAAAATTGTAAGTATTAAAATATATCCTTGTGTATATATTAAAAAAAAGTAAAGTATGGATTCTTTTTGCTTTATTATTCTATGTGAATGACAAGTTTATTGCATTTTAATACGTATTAGATGTTTATAAAATATCTTACATTATGAGTGAAAGATCTTGATGTAGCAAAAATAAATCGATGTTGAATATTTAAAAGTATGTAAAGCTATGAATGACGCTGTGTAGATTTTTAAACAAATCTTTGCAAGATTTCATATCCAAGATTGCATGATTGTAAGTATTTTGTTAGCTTTTCAGTTCAAGCTTTCACAAATGAAGTGATAAAATATTAAATGTCCAAGACATGACAATTTTTTTGAAAAATCATAAGTTTACATTAAATATTGCTCATGTGTTAAATGTAAAATGCAACGTCATATAAGCTATTGCTTATGTTGATGTTGTCTTTGAACAAAATTTGAATTCTAGACATTTTTTTAATTATCTATATCATTTTTACTTCGAAACATATGAACATGTCAACATACTGGACAAATCTTTAACCAAATCAATCATGTATACTTATTATAAATAGATTACAAATGCAAAGCATTGATTATTTTGATAAGATAGGTGTGTCACAAAATTAAAATCAATACCAAATATTTTTAATCTTTATTTTCTAATTTAAAAAATATGGAAAGAATTTGTACAAGTATGTAAAATTGGAATTGGACAATGAATATAAGATTAAAACACATTCATAGTATGTATCATGTTTTCAAAGATGGTTTATTCAAACATGATTTGTATCATAAAATAATTGAATTAATCGAGTTTTTTTATATAATTAAAGTCTTACTGTCATACAAAATTTCAATAAAATTTGAAGATAATTAACCACGTTTTATATAAGGTAAAATGATGAAATCATTATGAATTATTTTTATATCGTATTTTAAGTAACTCTTAACTATAGAAAAAATATATGTAGTTTTTACTCTACAAAGTTGTGTAGGCTAATTTTATATTACTAGAGGTTAAGATCAAAATATATGAATCGATGAAGAGATTAAAATAAAATAAAAATTATCCTAGTATAAGTACTTTGTAAACTTCTGTTAGATTGATCATATTTGAACAAATATTGTACGAAGCATTAGAAAGAAAAAATAGCATAAGTTACAGTATTTGTGACATAAATTAAAAATTCAAACAAGCATCTTTGTGTGTATAAATAAATAGCATTATATAAATAGCATTTTGTAAATGAATGAATTTTTTGTATCATATATGCAATTAATTTAAATTTAGAATGTTTTATAATGTATAAATTTATTATATGGAATATAATTATTGAAAATTTTAAATGCCTTCATGAAATATTTGTTCATTCCTAATTGAAAGAAATTTTTTAATTTTTATAATTTTTCATTTTTCAAATACTTATATGTGATATTGCTTGAATGTAATTCAAATTTCTGAGAATCACATTTCAAAATATACAATTTCATTGCAAAAAATATAATATTGCATATGAAAAAATATGATAAGTTTTAATGATATTCTCATTAATGTAAAAAATCTATAATCATGGGGCATCTGAAAAAAAAAATATGAATTATATACTGATAGATGTTAATTCACCACGTGATATTTCATAACCTACAAAACACATCAGTAGCTTACTAAAATCAACTGTAATGTAAATTGAGAATTTTAAATTTGAACTTTTTCTTCAATGATAAATCCCCAAATCTGTTGTAGTATAGTATTTATTTGTTGTATGTATCTTTGTGCAATGATGAATACCACATGATAATATTATCACTATTTAATTAGAAAATTTATGGGTTGATGTACATTATATCGCATTTGATGATATATTATACATGATATCATAATTACAACTATGATATTGTCTTCTATTATATCTATATATAAAATTTAAAGAAATATTTTGTAAATCAAATATATTTTATTGAAATAATGAAATATATTGTGTTCAAATCAGAGTTATTTTTAATGAATAGATTATCGTTAAATTGTTTATGCAAATATAATGAAATAATATATTTGAAAGTATTGAAATTTATTTATCATGTTATTTAAAAAAATCTTATCTTAAAAATCATTGATTGATCTTCTGCTCCAAATTACTTATATTATATGCTTTAATGTATTTTTAATTCAAATACAAGATGAATCTATGTGCAATTTTTGAATCCTTTTATTTACCACTTTATTACATCATGTTCATATATATGGCATTCGATTTAACGTTGATGAAATATTAAACATCACATCAGACAGATTTTATGCAATAAAAAAATACTATAATAAACGCCTATAAAGTAATTATATATAGAATTATATTTTTCACACATGTTAAAACATAGATATGATTTGGATATACAAGCTTAATTGGAGAAATTCACATTGCACAAATTTGAGCAACATTGCAGATTTGAACGTAGAATTGCAGTTTATTGAAAAAAATAATTTAATTTTAAAAATAATATATTTATGATTATAACATAATTCGAAATAAGAATATATATTGGAAGCTCAAATTATATTACTACTATATCTTGAAAAAAATTATACTCAAAATCTTATTCATATTATAATCTATATTTTTAATTTATTTCTTATTATATTAGTAAAATTTTTGATCCTCGAGTCTAATTATGTGACAACAGTTGGTGATGTAACAGCAATTTCAATATTAGAACACAAACATTGAAAAAAATCAGAAATTAATTATCATATTACATAAATCATAACATACATATATAGTATTCAGTTTATAACATAGAATAAATCACAAGCAATTACTCTATTATAAATCTAAGAAATCAATATTATTATAATATTGATTATATTATAAAATATAGTTAATATATTATATTTTTGTACTTATGTATCCACTTGAAGTAAGCTGCAATGAGCTTTTAGTGTTTGGAAGTAAATTTTAAGCATAAGTTGTGTAGTTATGCTAGATGAAGTAAACTTTAATCAAACTTTCGTTATTACAAGAGAGTAATTGTAAGCTAAATTTGGGTTTTTCAAATACATAATTAATAATAATTTAGTTGATAATTGATAAATTAGTATTTGATATACTTGTACATAAGATAACTCAAAACTTTGGGCAATGTCAACAAATAAAAATTTACATGATTGGGTTGTGTTGATTATTGAATAAAAAAAGTACATATAGCGAATAAATTTTTTTAATTCATGTGATGATTATTTATTCAAAGCTTTGCATATATATTTTTAAAAAATATTTACAATTGTTTGAAAATATAATGAAAATTATTTTTTCGAAATAAGTTGATAAAATAAAAATTTTATTTATTTATTTCTGAAATAAGTATATATCAAACTTACAACAAATTTGAATAGTAGTTGAATAGGATTAAATCAGGGTCCTCGTGCTCTGTTCAAAGTTTCATTTGAATTAATATTTAAATCTTACAAATATTATTTATTCTAGATAAAAAAGATGAAAAAATAAATTAAATGGGCCAAAAATATTATTTATACATATAATTTATTATATGATATAATATTTTCTATAATATATTTTTGAAGATGTGGGTAAATGACATTTTAATTCACAATAATTATCATTGAATTTTGATAATTTTTCTAATCATATGTGAAAAGATGACGTGAGTAATTTATAAAGATTTGACAGTTCCATGATTTTTTGGTAAAAAATTTATAATTTCAATAATATGAATATTTTTGACTTTAAATATTTTTATTGCATCAAGCAAAAAGAGAATCATATAGTATATGTGATTCGATATGTATTGGACATTTATAAACTAAAGATAATATTTGTTCATGCTGCAACCAATGAGGGTAGAAAATGTATATTTAAGTAGAGAATGATCATATTTTGGTTGAAGATGTGGTGATTATCAGTATTCTATAAGATAGAGTTTTAGGAGTTTTGATTACTGATTTTCTTGGATGAACGGGAATGTGGATACAACCAGTCAGTTTTTTATCCTAACATTTCATTTTATATAAAACTATAAGTGATTATGTTTACATACTTGTGAGTGAGCACGAGCTTATTTTAATAGGCTACATAGAGTATTATAAGTTTTTGACGATTTTTGACGTTATTTTAGTCCGTGTGGTTTCATAACACTCATAGTTGAATGGTTTACGCATTAAACATCGCTAGCTAAAGTGACGTAGATTGTGTGATACGAGTAAATTCCAAGGTCGCAGCTGATCAAGCAAGTGTTTTTCATCTTGACAAGTTTGGGGGACTAGAACTTCTTCGCTTTCTTCATTACATTGGCTTGATGGAATGTTCCCACAATTATTTATATCAATCTTGCCTCTTTTACTCCTTCACTCAGATTATGCTATCGAAGAAATGGCTGGGAAAGTTACCGATGACCCATGAAGACTGATGTTCAACGAATAATGAAACAAATCACAATATTTTTCCACCATTCTATATCAACATGGTAAATTTAAATTCCGACACGTATGCAGCAGCCGAGGTGTCCTGCGAAAGATGAGGGGAGCCCATCGTAACCACAGTCTTGAAAACTTCAACTCTGCCCTTCGTTGGAATATGATCAAATTAGTTGTGCGCTAATTCGAGTGAAACTGTCATAAGGTTATGGGTATGGGGATGAAATACGAACGAGAAGAGGAAGCGAGGCTGGGAACGAGGTAGAAACGGCCCAGCGCAAATTGACACCGAAGGAGCTTCATCGACTGTGCTCCCAAATGTGATGTTACGATTCGATGGTTTTTATGGAAGAATGAGCACCCATGGAGTTTAGGTGCCGTCGCAGTGCGCGCAATCTGTAATTCATTCGTCGTCTGGAGATATGGTGCATCTCCTGCGCTCTGTTTTCCATGGCTCCTCTCCGACTTTGTGCCCGTGCCGGAAGACGAGCTTCTTAGACTCGCATTCTCGAGGTCAAAGTGTCAGATCCTTCGTCGTATGCGCTTCCTCGGCAACCTCGAAAGCAGCTGAGGATTATGAGGCATATCAAAATCAGTTTAGTGAGGACGACAGACGAGAATCCGGGGGCGTGAAATTTGAAGGTGTTGTTGAAAGGAGCGGGTCGAAGAGTCGTCTCGACCAGTGGTTATCGAAGCAATTACCTCGCGTGAGCCGAGCCCGTGTACAGAGCAGCATTCGTCATGGTCTCGCTCTTGTCAATGGCCAGCCTGCAAACAAGGTACATACAGTCTTGAACAGTTTTTCGGAGTTCTACTCAACTGTCTGTACCCCACGAGCTCACCTAAATTGTAATCAGTTTGCCTTAAAAGGAAAAAAATTCACAAGTTCAATGGAGTATGCTCCGATTTTGGTCTGTGGTCGTTTGCTCATCTCAACTGACGACAGCGGGATCATTCAGGTGTCATTTTCGTTAAAAGGAGGAGATACTGTGGAGTGCAAGCTCATAGGACCAACACCTTCTGAAGCAGAACCTGAGGATATAGCTCTGGACATAGCGTTCGAGGATGAGCATGTTATAGTCATCAACAAGCCGGCTCACATGGTCAGTGTTTGCCTGGAAATACCTGTGGCTCTGGTGATTTTGGCTGGCTTGCACTTTGTCAAGCAGTGATCATGAACTGAGAAACCTTGAAAGGCCCCTGCGTCTCTTCTGTACCTATATGAATTAAATCATGTGGTAGTCAGTAGTTTATAACTTGCACTTTCTGTCATATCCGTTTCATGATCCGTGGCTGCGACAGAGCCAATAAAGAAGGTCCAAACGAACTCTTTGATCCGTAATTCGAATCTCTTTCATCGTGTCTCAATCGCCAGGTTGTTCACCCAGCTCCTGGCCATTCGAAAGGAACGTTGGTAAATGCATTGCTTCATCACTGCGGCCTTCCGGCTATGCAGCTGGTCACGGGATCCTCAGGGTCTCAAAAAGGGCTCTTGGGTGTTCAAGATAGTGAGGAAGAAGATGAGTTGCCAGAGGATGACGAAGCTGTGGATCCTGGAACCTTACATAAGGTGGAGTGGAGTGGACCAGCACCTATTATAAGGCCGGGTATCGTCCATAGACTGGATAAAGGGACGAGCGGACTCTTGGTTGTTGCTAAGGTATGAAGATCGGTGTTTCTGCTTTGATGTCTTCTTCAGATCCTGGAAAGTTGTGAACCATGTCGCTATATATTTGTTCTCAATACCTGTTGTTGGCGGGATCATCTGATTTAGCCTCCCCTTGTTAACTGTCAAAGGTCATTGAGAAATATCGTAGTTGTTATATGCTCATGATCAGTTTGGGCAATCTAGTCATATCAACGCTGCATATGATGGTGACGAGGCAACTTCATTTTCTCAGGATGATTACACACATGAGCACTTATGTAACCAGTTCAAAGCTCGAACAGTGAGGAGGTCGTACCTTAGTCTGACCTGTGGATCTCCTCCACCAGGCATTGGTCGTGTCGACGTACCCATAGGACGGGATCCCCGAGACAGGAAGCGCATGGCTGCATTCCCTTTTGCATCCCCGAATATGCGCACGCGCCCCGCCGCTAGTAGGTGAATCAGCGAGGACTCGTCCTTTATGTCTTCCTATTATTCGTCCCTCTTTCTTCTTCTCTGCAAGTTGTTTTCCGCAAGATGCATTTGTACAGTTTATCGGGATCTGTTCGAACAACAAAATTCCACTCACCTAGTTTTCCTATGTTGTATCCATTAGAACTTAAGAGTCTTCGAAACTAGTATCTAAATCACAAGTTGTTCTAGATTCAGACATCGCAAGTTTGAACGTATCCTTAGTCCCATTTGACCAGCCGATGCTGTCCATTTGAACGTTCTCAAAACGGTGGTATGGAGTATTATTAGCCCATCTTGGGTTTCGTGCTAACAGGTACATTCTGTACAGGTAAATATCGTGTTTTGGAGGTCTTAGCACAAGGTGGGTCCTCATTGCTGGAGTGGAGATTAGAAACTGGACGTACTCATCAGGTGCTGCTTCTGACCATTTCATTACAGTCTGAAGTTTGCAGGGGCCCAATTATAAATCTCTAATTAGGGACGTCTGTGACAATCGGATTCTATGGTCTACCGCCTTACAGTTTGTTCACATTGTCTCTACGTTGCAGATAAGAGTCCACGCGCAGCATCTCGGGTACCCATTGCTGGGGGATGAAGCATATGGTGGCACAAAAGGTGCAGCTGAGGCTAAGCTCCTACCCAAATTTCCATCCGTAAAACATGGACCGCTGCGTCATATGGTAGCTCAAATTGACAGACCTTGCCTGCACGCACAAACTCTTGGGTATGTGATCAATTGCGTTTGTAAGCTTTCACACTCAATGTTCTCTCTATGCAGCTTCCGTGCATGGTATTAGTTTTGGCCACGCTAAGTTTGGATTATTTTCTTGCAGCCTTGGAGTTAAGTTCACAAGTGTTGTCCAGTCAGTCTTACAGTTCCCATTTGTGCGTGAAATGGCAGATTCCTGCACCCTTGGACAGGAGAAGAACTAAATTTCATGTGCCCTCCGCCAGAAGACTTTGCAACCATTTTGCAACTCCTTCGCCTGTATGGAACAAGCAAGGTCTAATTTCGATCTCGGCTGGTGGTCAAACGTTTTAAGCCCGACTTGGTGTACGCAAGTCTCTAATCCTGTAGACTTGGGAGTGACGGACGTAAACGCCAAGAAGCTGAACCTCCTAGTTGAGTCTTTGAAGGTGAAGTAGAATATGAGGAAGACTGGTAGTGATAGACAAGTAAACAAATATTTTTAATGTAATGAAGAAATCTCCTTCAGGAATTTGATACTCAATAAATGCAGACCATCTTCTTGAAGCGTAGGTGCAACAGAGCATCTATCTTCCACGATGCGGGTAGTCTTCGGTCAAAGCAGAAAACATATGAATTTGATGGCATGGGGGCTCACCTCTCGAATCATAACTGTCAAAATCTTCGGGCGAGCAGTAAAACTTATCCGAGTCCCTCTTGAAGTTCATCTTCGTGATGGGCTTAAATGGATGACCAGGTAGCCCGAATTCTCCTTCAAGAGGGGTTCTGGGGAGAGCAAGGACAACGTATGAGGTGCTGATAGATGGAGCTAATGGACAGACTTGTATAAAAAGCCTTCTTGTATAAATAGCCTTCTGGACTACCCTTTACTTTCTATCCCGAAAGTCGGTAGTGTCCTACGAAGGTGTTAAGTGCCCCATCCGAAGTGAGATCGGGTTTGAATCTACAGGCTAGGAACCGCCCTTTTGAGATTAAACAAGCCATAACTGTCGCGAATGGTCGAACTCATTCCATGTAGTTGATCTTTACTGGCGCATAGCCTTCCCAAGCGAGAAGGGTTTAAATGCATGGGAAGGTGTTTCAGGAAGAGGTGGACGCGCAACCCCACGAGCACAGCTTGTGCACGTTACAAGCACGGGTGACATAAATAAGTAGTTGAGTATCATGAGCATCATCTATCCAAATAGAATCAATGGAAGAATGGCTTGAAGTTTGATGCAGTACCTTTCCCCTAAGGGAGAGTAGTGCATCTGCAACCAGGTAAAGGAAATTACACCCGAGATGAAGAGAATTTGCGCTCGTGAACATGGAAGTAATCTTGAAACGGGAGAGCATGGCAACTGAGAACGCTAAGCTGGGCCTCCAGATGCGCCATCACAAGGACTGATCAGCTGGATGAATCGAAGAACTCTAACTGTACCGAGACCAGAAAATTTCCGGCTCGATGACGCAAATCAACAGTGATCACCAACTCGGTGCGTGGTCACCATTTACACCTGGATTCCGGTTGTTCCAGGCTTTAAGCTGACTGCTCTTTTCATTTTCGTCAATTGTGGATATGCGCTTTTCCTTTTGGCCGTTGTTTATTCGTCCGAGACACTCCGTGATCTTATTCTCGGCTACGGTGGGTGCGTGTACCTTGTGAATGATGCAGAGGATAAAGATCGTGAGAGTGTTGATCACGAAGATACGATCAACAGGCATTGTCCATTCTCGATCAGAATAAACTCCAACGACACAATCATGTCGAGACGCGGATGCCTTTTGCATCTGAGGACGATGTGCGTGCACTCTTTGCTCTAGACAGTTGTAGACCTTATAATGAGAATTGCTCAGCCTAGGGCTTACGTGAGGATCTTTCTTCACACATTTCACAGTTCAAGCCTTAAGATTCCACCCTATTTCCCCACCTCCCACGTCGCTCTTATCTTGTCAATTGCCTTGCTCTTGCCGAGCGTATCACTCAAAGCACGGGTCCAAATTAAGATGTGAACTCGTGAGGTGAATCAACAGAATGGATTACACCAAATTTTGCTTATGTATCCAGCTACGTAAGCCTTGGCTTTTATGACCACTTGTAAGCACTGTCGTGACAACATATCTACAAGCATCCGATCTAAATTAAGAAAGCGTAGTCACATCACTCTCTGGACGCGGATCTGAACTTAAATTCAACTCCCTTCCTCTAGTGTCTCCATCCCAAGTTCCCAACCATCTCCTCAGTCCTGCACAGGGAACACGTACTAAATATGGTGACGACAGGGTGCAGCCAAACGACATAGAGGGTTGAGGAGGTGAAACAGGAGGACAGGGGTCACATGACTGGACTATATCCAAGCTGAGGCATTCAAGTGATAGTAAAGAACAAAGTAGAACAACCGCATTTCAGTTAGACGACTTGTTTAACAGTGTTACCAACTTCACGGAGGGCAGTCACGGAGGCCTGCACTGAGCATAAAACGGTGGGCTGAGAGTCTTGCCAGGTCCAAGCAACCACCGGTGTGAACATTACATGGGACTCGGAGTTCGACTCTTGATGTCAGAAAGCGTTGCGACTATTGCTTACTACTTCAACCCAAGTCCATGCTGATGAGCTCCTTTGCCCAGTTTCGAATGGATTAATCTCCTTTTGTAAATTTGACAACTTTGTTGGCAGCTCATGTGGAGCCCAAGCAATGTAGCAAAAAGGATGGGAAGACCCGATCTAGTCGTTCAGGGATGAAACCAATGGGTTAGGATTGAGCTAGGCCCCAATAGCAGAGTCTGCGGTCACCGTCTTATTTGATGCGGCAATGCGGTGAATCTCTGTACTATTATGTCAGGAATACTGTCCCCGTTCGTCTGCCACATCAACTACCACACGTCCAAGTCAATCCAAGCTCTCTAGTCTGTAGAGTCCTCAAGGCAAAACTGCATGGATGCCTGCCAACTGAGCTCTGTTACCAGTGTATCTACTGAAGGCATGGATCTTAAAACCGGCGCTTGACTCTAGAAAGTGGTACATAACGCTCATTTTCTTGTGGAAGCTACCATACTATACGATCGTAGCATGCAAGTGTGTCGTGATTCGAGAGTATGAAGTCTTGCAGATGTCAAGTTAACCTGGAGTTTCGCATCACCTTTGTAGTCACCTTTCGAACCCCGACTTTAATATTATACTGAACACCATGACTTTGACAGCGTGTGGAGTTGCCTCTTCCCAGAACTATTCCTCATGAACAACGTCCAAGGAGTTTCACAGTAGGCAAAACTTCTGCCCTATAGCAATGACGCAACATTGACGTGAGCACGTTCATGAATCAGAAGTCGGTTGTTGAAGAAGATGTATCACGCTCACAGCTTCGATAGCGAGGTCCTGCAATTTAGTTCATCAAGCATTCACGTGATTGGTTAATCACAATAAGGAGGAGGAGGAGTTTCAAGATAATTTTGTAGATTTAGATTTTAGTGATCCCATTTGTTCATTACGATGAGTAATCTGGACGAATATCGCATTTCGCACCTTTGACCCTGTAATTGCAACGATAATGCTCGCATCTTTCAAGGAAGGAAGACCATCCTCCAGTATCTCACAATCAGACGTGGAACATTTTTGTTGGTACTCATTTGTTGAACATGATCCACGAGATACAAAGCGCTCCTCCAAGAACTTTCCCCTTCATGATTGCGCTTCTGACTCGCTGCGACACTTTAGAAAACAGTAACCACAAACTATCTACTGACCGACATGTCGATGACCTAATCCTCAAGCAGTTATACCAGTTGATCTCCAATGAGTCAAAAGTCAGATGATGATCGCCCATTGTGCAAGGATGGAGCAAAAATTCACAGCCCTCTTCTATCACCGCTCAGTTTGGGATTCCTCCTTATTTTACTCCTCATCTTCCTCACACCACAAACACATGTAAAGACATAGTGAGGTACAACCTCGAACTCGGCTGATTATTCCATCATCCCACTGTTTAGATAGATAACAATCGTTGATCACGGTCAGTCCATCATTTTATTCTATTGAAACAGGTGCTTTGCAAGATTTACTACAATGTCACTATCAAAGGTATAATAAGGCAAAGATTCTGCTGAATCCCTTGTCCATCTCTCGTCCTAGGGAGCCGTGAGGGGATACAGTGCAAATGTTAAAGCGTGGCTTGGCACCTCTTTCACCAACTCAGTTGTAACAACTAAAAGCTTACACATCCAGAACTGTTGCTTCCACCTCCACTACGGACATCATCTCGACTTAAAATTCTCACCTCCGGTGCGAGTTGGATATAACTGTAGATTCCGTAGAACCTACAGTCATATAAAATTCTCATAATCGAGGTCGTCTTTTAGGAAAGCCTTCCAGAAGAAAGACACGGCTGAGTGCCGAGCAATACGATGCTGCCTAGATTCAGGCCAGAGGTGAAAGATATGGAAGACTTTGGAAGGAGATAAATCCGAACTAGTGTAATATCACTGCGTCCACGAAGATCTCGACACAAAGTCGGGCACTTCTTTATCACACAAGTGAACTTGGTTCTATAAATTCATATCCACACTCCCAATCGATTCTAGGCATGTAAAGGAGAAATCTCAATGTCACGTTGTTCAGTTTCATTGTCAAGCTCATGGACCCAGCATCAGATGAACGTCTCGAGGACCTTGTTGGTAGAAGTTGTTTATCAACCAGGAAAGAAAGGGGCACATGATTAGTTTTGAACTGCAAAGTCCAATTGAATTGGGTGCAGACATCGTCGTGACATGGAGCATCCTGAAGGCACATGGTTTGCTTGCCACCGAGAGATACAGTTTGGGTTATCAGAGCGTTGACGAACGTGAACATGTTGTGTTCCAGCTCTCTCTGACGACATGACTGCTAACATGTGTTTGAGTTGCACAACTTTTGAGAGGCATCAATATCGTATGCTATGCAAGGGGAGCTCCAAGAATTTTCCCCTTGAGATAGATTCATGAGTTGAATTCAGTTCTACATTCAGAAAAATTGGAATCACCAGACTTCAATTCACATCTGCAGATGCTGGAGAGTGTCCCATCTTACAATAACTTCTTCACATGCTCATGATTTTTGTTCAGTGATACTTGCAGAAGGGATCTGGTATCCTCTGTCACTTTGGTGACGCAGGCATACATGAAACATACGGAGGTGGCAAACGTGTACTCGCCTTTAGATTATTATCCCAAGGGGCTGAAAGAAGTAGAGTCATTATTAAAGATATTCATTTGTTCAATTATTTGATACGTGATCCCAGTTAAAGGTAGTATTTTTTAAGAAGATATTTTTCATCTATCCACATCATTTTACAAGTGACAAAACATCTCCATACACACCTTAATCCACAAGATCAGATTGTTACATGATCAATTGGTATGATGATGCTTTGACTCTTTACATTTTTGTTTTTTTTGAATCTGATCTCAAATTACCTTTTGAATTTAATATAAGTAAAGTGAGAATTTATCTCTCATGACATAACGTCGTTAATCAACAAGCTATGTTGCAAAAACTCCACTCCTTTGCATCCACATCATGTTTAAGACCTGATTAGTAAAAAGATAATATCTTTTTTAGCCTTTGCAACAACTTAATCCACCAAGATTGATCCTTTGTGGATTTATTAATTAATCTTTATTCTCATGATGACCTCTAAGTTAGATTAGGATAACCGTTGTCATATCAAAGTTTTGTTGACATGAAGTACATGCTCATGCTAACTATTTGAATTTCTTCATGTTAAGCGAGATGGGAGACTCCGTCCTTTTTGCTCTCTACTTGCTCCCTTTCTGCTTTCTTCCAAAAGCATGGCAGCAGAAAGTTTGTACGGAATAATTGTATGCATTTTTCAAATCTTCAGTGTTGTCTTTTTTTTGCTGCAAGGAATTCTAACCCGATGATATCTAGAGTGACGGTAAGTAGAAATATATTTTAAGGTCCAACCATTCAACTTATCCCAATTTTCTCCTCTCTTTGTCTACTCGCTTTGATGCATCTGTTTATAGACATCGACGCACTAGGAAGCTCAACATGGAAAAAATCTTGAAGAGGATACAAAGAGAAAGCAAATCATGATGAAAAGTCAACTACAAAGTCAAAGAATGGGCAACCACTATCATGAAAACCACTTCCCTCTCCTGTCACTACAGTAGTATCACTCAGATATCTCCTCTATTCAATAAATTTGAACATATCTTTTACTACAAATTTACGAACTCTACAACTACCCTACTTTCAATTTGCTCCACTGTTTTGGTACGATCTTGTTGATATTGACAAAGACCTCCTACAGCAGTTATACGATCGGATCGCTCTCAATTATCATAATCTCATAGATATCTCTTCCAATCCGTAGATCGCAGAGTTACCAAAGCTTTGTAACTACAAGTGCAAAAATATGGTACGAGTGGTAAAATTTTCTTTTACACCAATCATACTGGAAGAGGATTAATGAAATCTGCACGAGTGTACTTCGGTCTTGTATCGGAAGAAAGTTGTGAGAAAATCTGAACAAAGCGACAGAGCTTACGGGCCATGCATTCAGCTTGATTTCATGATACGTAGACATTCACTTCATCTGTATCAAAATCAAAAACTAAAATGAAGTGAAGCCAATTCAAGATGAAGATCAAATTATTCCATCGACAATCCGTTCTTATTCAAATGTGTTAATTTTGTTTGAGAGGGTTTAAATTAGATAAGAATACGAACCGCCAGAAATGAGTTGAAACAAAACCCAATCAAAATAATGTATTATTGAACCAGACACATCTAGCACAGAAAGCAGCTCATCGTACCACGGGATGAGAATGCACGTCCATTCCCGAGGGGTCCGGAAGACTTGGCACTCAAGGGAGGAATCGCGGGATAAAACCTTCACCTTATATTATCCAATGCTTCAAATTAAGAAGGGGTTAAGGGTTAGCGGTTACGAAACGCCATGACATTTCTTCACCTGTTCTCGGAGCCTGATATTTTAAGAGCATCCGAAACGTACACTGCAGCAATAATAATGCCCATGTGTGATCATGTGACAAAGCAAGCAAAGTGATCTACGACTACTTTAAGAGGAGGACCGACGGCTATGAACATGAATCTGGCAGCCTCCACAAGAAGAGGCCTTCTGGACGCTGTGAGAAGTGTGCAGCAAACCAATACCAAGAAGATATTTATTTAGTTGAATCATTCGTTTCCTGTCTAGATTGGATCATCGAAATGCTCCAAGGCACCTTCCAAATTCTCATCCAGTCATTCCTAACAGAGAAAAGACAACCGATTTTTAGCGATATCCGATTTTTAGAGATCTCGATTCCGACACCGGAAGCACTTCGCACATTGTTCTAAAGACGAGTGCCGCATATTCTCGAGGGCTAGAGACTGTAGGACTTGAGAGTCCCTCACGTCCCTTCAGGTCAGCTCAGCCGTTCAAAGGCTGCCACTGTAATCGGCCAGGACGGCTATCCCACTCGATGAAAATGATGGGCTCGTTCGGTAGGTCTGACTACTCAATGCCGTACATCCTTGACTCGCCATTCGCTAAGACTTTGGTGCAAGTCCAGTTTCGCTTGCACAGCGAGTCGTGTACCTACAGTGTTTTCCCAAATCCGTCATGTGTTCATAAGTGGGAAGAGAAGGGAGGCGGAATTACGTGCTCATGAAATTGGTGATACTCGTGTTTGATTTTCACGCTGTCTCTGAGTTTTGATGGCAGCCAGCACTGCGAGCGAAAAGAGGATATGGCGTTTAAGAGAGCATCATGTTTAACGTGCCTGACAAGTTGACAATTCATAACACCATTACAAAACATAAGTCAAGATTTATTTATTTCAGCATGTGAATTGAAATGTCAAAGTGCCCAGCACCATGGGAACTGGGAAGCATCACGCATGAATTTCCAGAAGCAAACTTATTCGGCACACAAGCACGCAGATCAACATGCCGTCAACATCCTGATCATTGAGCTTTCCGGGTATCACCGCTCGTTTTTTTAAAATGATGACCGAGGCGAAAGCATTTGTTACACGAAATGTTTGGCACGTTTCTCACTGACCTAATTTTAATAAGACACTCCGAGTACTGATTCGAAGAATTTAAGCTGATTCCGATGCTGTACTGTACTTCTCGTCACCTGTAGCCCATACCACTCCTGCATGCTCCAGAATCTACCAGTCTAGGTTTGCGCCGAAATTGGGAAAGCCGCCTGGACCGATGGCAACAAGATGCATATCCCATGGCTGAAAAAGGCGACAAGGAAACCAACAGCCACGAGCCTCTTTCGTCTGGAGATCTTGTGTTACACACTGTACGAGCTGTGGTTTCAGGGTACTTTAAAGAAAGCCGGTGAAAATTGAGAATTCTGGAGGCGAGGGAGTCCGAGTGCATGTAGGTCTTAAGGAAGGAGATCGAGGAAATCATGCAGTACAAAATCAATCCTAGGGCGGAAAGTCCGGCTAGGCAGCCGACCCGATCAATCATGAATGTGCGAAAACCTAAACCCGTATCTTATTGCAATCATCATAGGCTCCCTAAATCTCACCCTGCTGTGCTGACGATGAACGAGGTGAGTTCGAGTGTCCGGCCGAGGACATGTGTCACAACATGGACCCTAAAGAAAGAATGCGGAGTCCCTCGCTCGACAAGAAACACCTCCAACAGTATAAAGCATTGTACCCATATCACATTTGGACCTTAGGCGTCCAACTCTTCGAAAAGAAGCGCAACGGACGAACAAGTCGACGACAGCCATGACCCTTGACAGCGTGACTGATCTAAAAATTGCTTGAAAGACGTCATCTCAAACCCTGATGTTTTAAATCACGAAATCTATTGTGGAAAATTGGTAATTAAAGTTGACCGTCAAGTCAAGCATCGTAAGGTTGCAACAAGTTGTAGATGTTGGTCTCCAAAACACGGAATAGAATTGAAGTCCAGATACAGGAGGATTGAGGCGCGAGTAGAAAATATCAATCAATTTGGGGTACTCGGTGGGAATATAAATGGAACATAGTGATTGATATTCAAGCAAGTCTGTTCTCCTCGTTGCTGAGTACGTATAAAGTACATACGATTAAATATACTAGATCTCGCTAGGGATACGGTGCGAGAACGTGTACGCTGCTGGGGTCCAAGTTCCTGCAAAGACCGGAATCGTGAGCGTGCCACATGTTCTACTGAATCTGATCAGGATACCGAATCCCGAAGGCTCAAAGCATCCGCGAAGCCGCAAAGCATCACACACGTGTGATGTACGTCCGGCTCATGCTCCGAGTTGTATATGCAGCAGTATGTGCATGCGTGATGCCATCCAGGTGACATATCGGCGTTCCCATCAGAAGCCTGAGCTCTGACAGAGCCGTAGGTCCCACGAAAGATTCACGGCTTCTGAACTTCTGCAGTTTACACACGGAGATGTATACAACAGTTTTCCCAATCGAGAAACAACGCGCTCGACGCCGTGGGAGGAATTGTCTTGCGAGTTCATCCTTTTGCTCAGCTCGCCATGTTTCTCCTGAAGCAATTTATCCTGAAGCTTGATATGATTGTGATGAAGACATGTGTCTTCATCACATATCAAGCTTTACTGATGTGTTTTGAGAGCCTCTAGGACAAGGTGGAGTAGAATCTTTTTTGGAATGAGGGAATCTTTTGCTTCGGAATCTTATAACTTTTATCATCACATAAGCAGTGAGAGAATTTTCTGGAGGTAAATTTCAATGTGCTGTACTGAACTAAATATTGGGGTTTTTTTCGGGGGTCCAACGGATCCTGTTGCAGACGGTCCACATCAGATCCTGCAACCTAACGTACGTCAATCTTTTAGTATCTACTTCCAAATTAAACGGAAAAAGTTCCGGATCTTCCAAGTTTATAAACTGCAGGTGGTTCCAATGCCTATTTTCGTGTTGTGTACTGTGGTGTATCTTCTTCCTCGTAAAACCCGAAAAGACCTTCGTTCAACCCATCGAGGAGGTAACTGGAATTTCCTCACTGGAGTATTCATAAAGTGTCAGTTGCTCAAAGAAACATGAAATTTTCATTTTATTCTCGGTCAGAGGCTTAGACAGTTGGATCGTTCCTCTCACAACATCATTTATTCTAAGGTAGGCCGAACAAGTCTATGTAAACTGCCATGAACGGAAGAGATACAGTACGGGTCACGAATATATATTTGTTTCTGTTTTTCAATTGACGAGAGGCCAGAAGGAGATCAAACCTCAACCTCAGTCTTCCACACTACCGTACTCACATTCGTCATGCCAGTATCTTTAATCAGACTCTCGGCTGAGGCCTAGACAGCAGAAGGTGGCAAAAATCTGGAACCATACATTCATGTCTGGCCAGTATCAAAGTCATCAGCTTACAGAGTGGACAGCAGTGGCGAAAAAAATGGATTTTATAATGCAAGGAGAAGCTTGGGGAATTGTGCTCTTGAGGGTCGCCTACGTGGATATGTACCTTTGACACAGAAAGTTAAGAAAATCTTCGATCAGCGTAAGATAGCAAAAGAGGGATGGGAAGACCCCATCGAGTCGTACAGGGATGAAACCAAAGGGGTGACACAGTAAAATAACGAGAAGGGTAGGCACGAGAGAAGACGTGGGGAATTGAAGGGAAAGCAAAAACTGGCATTCACTTGATTATGGGTTCGAGCGATATGTGGCCGCTTTGTTCCCATCCTGACAGATCGCTGGGTACAGATCTGCACAGTATGTGCTCATGTATCACCAGCGTCCGGAGTGCTGGAACATCCACTCATCCCTCTATCTGCCGATGCTATTCCGTCCGGCCGTCTCTCCACATTTCGTGCGGCTCATGCACGCACGCTTCTACGACGAGCACGCCGCACGGTTTGCGATTCTCCAGCTCACATGCATGCCTTGGGTCCTTCCATGCGCATGCGATGGCCCATCGAGGGAGAGGGCCAACCAGGCCCCTCCCCATGCCCACTGCCCACTGCCCACAGAGACGCTCAGCGATCCATGTCGGTAGACTCTCGACGGCGACCGGCGAGCTTCTCGCTCGGTCGTAACGGCGTCACGGGGCACAGCACAGAAGACAGAAGTGTAAGGCTCCGCAGGTGCTCTAATTCTTGGGAAATCGGCGGCACGGAACCGTCCGACTTTTTCTTCGGACGGAGAGGGAGGGGCAACGATTTAGGGAGGCAACTGGGAGCTGCGGCCCAACTGCAAACTGCGCTTAGTGTTCGCGAGGCCACGTCGGCACCCGTGCCGGACTCCGATGGGTCGGGGCGTCTGGATGTGGAACGCGGGTGGGGACGCCGGAGAGCACGTGGGGCCCGCACGGGAAGAAGAAGAAGCAGAACAAGAACGCCCTCAGTCCATAAAGCACCTCCGCCCCGCTCGATCTGCCACTCAGCCTCACCAGGTGGCGACATGTCACCCGACACGTCACGCGCCACGCAGCCCTCCACGTTCGCCCGGGTCCTAATAACGTCCTGCTCAGCGAACGCGGATCATCCTACCGGTAACAGCAACTTTTGGTCCCGGATGCCAATGCAAGGCCTGGGCCGAGGCCTCGCTCGTTCAACGCCGATGCTGATGCGGCAGCCGAAGAAGCTCCTGCCTCGGCCCGTCAGAGCTCGCAGAGCAGCCACGCAGAGGCGAAAGCGACAAATGCCAATCGCCACAGGTGGCCCAGCAGAGCACCCTCGTCTGAGCCCGGATCGTCTCTCGGCCCCCCCTGAGCAGCAGCAGCAGCAGCAGCAGGCAGCAGCGAGTCCGAGTCTGGGAGATGGAGATGGAGATGCAGCGGAAGAGCAGGAGGTGCAGAGGAGAGGAAGCCGGAGGGGGCCCGGCCCATGACAATCCTCCACCCGGCCGGGGATGGAAGGCAGGCTTAGCGGCGAGCTTGGGGATGGGATTTTCATGGCTGAGGTGGTCGAGGGCCCATGGGAATGAAGGAGGTGCAGCGGCAGCTGCGGGAGTGCGTTGAGAGTCCGGAGTGATCGTGGGCGCAGGCCGAGGCTGCGGGTTGCAGCAAGTAAGCCCAGTGCCGGTGCAGAACAAGAGGGATGGGGGACGATGGGAGCCTACGCTTTTTGATGACGCTGACGATGCTGATGATGTGGTGGCGGTGTCTCGGAGAGCATATGGGACGAGCAGCCGGAAGGAGAGGATGAAGCAGCAGCAGCAGCAGGAGGAGCAGTAGCAGTAGAAGAGAACGGGAGAGGGAGTTAGGCAGGGGAGGCACGCAGAGAGAGAAGAAGAGAGAGGGGCCGCTCAGCAGCGGAGAAGGGCGCAGCTGTTTGTGCTGTGCTGCCACTGCGCCGGTGCAGAGCGAGAGAGCAAGGAATGCGCGAAAGGCTGGTTTGCTTTTCGCGGTGGGATCGAGCTTCCTTGCGCCTCAGGGTTGGCGTGTGAGTTTCCGAGTCGTCGTTCTCTCTCGTGGAAGGGTCGAGGCTGGGGCAGCGGAATGTGGTATATGTGTGAAGCACACCACCTCTTGCTCCCAGGCTCGGCATCCGTTACTACAGGTTTGCTCAGAGGGGAGTGGAAGAGGAGTGAAGGAGCCCGCAGGCAGTGAGACGAGACGAATTCGTGCGCGAGGAGCTATTGGAAGACGCCAGAGAGAGAGAGAGAGAGAGAGAGAGAGAGAGAGAGAGAGAGAGAGAGAGAGAGAGAGAGAGAGAGAGAGAGAGAGAGAGAGAGAGAGAGAGAGAGAGAGAGAGAGAGGAATGCTCGGTTTGTGAAAGGGGAGGGCGGAGGGTGACTTGTCTGATTGGTCTTGCCATCCGGAGCACGCAGGCAGGCGGTCAGACAGAGACGCACACGCGAACCTCGACGTGCGAGTTGTAGATTGCTTGCGAGCATCAGTGAAAAAGATTGATTCACGCTCAACATGTTTTCCTACTCCGGACAGTACTCTGGAAGCCTGAGAGCTGCTACGAGCCGGGGACTGCCGACCCGAGTTCCGTTTTTCTTCCTGGAGTATTTTTAGTCCTGTGCCCAAGTCTTGACAATGAGATAGCAACGGAGGACAGGTTGTGTGCACCATGTTGTTGCAAGTCTTGCATGGATCGTAGCTGTGTTGAATTTAGTTAGGGATAGCTGCAGGCAGATGGAATTCGTGGGGTTTTGCGCTAGGACTGTTACGATCCGCTGAAATATTTGCTCTGAATGCCGAAAGCCTCACTCGATGTTGAAAGGGGCGTGGAGCCTCGTCGACGGGTTGCGTGCAGCAGAAGATGTGGCGTTTCTTTGTGAAAAGATGTCGATACGAGACATACGCGTTCGGCAGATGATGTGCCCTGGTACGAAAGTATGGTAATTTGGCTCTGGGTTCGTCCGCATGTTGAATGCTCGATCATTGGCGTGCTTCCGGGCGCCTTAGTCGAGCAGACTGTACGCCGTTGGGTTTCGGAATCTGTGGATGTCCGCCCACAGTTGCAGCTTGTTTTTGGGGCAGCGATTTGCGGAAATTGAAAGACACTCAGCGCCTGGAAGACGAGCGCTGAAAATGTCCTCAACTCCATGGCGTTGTAATGGAGGAGTTCTCGTGATCTTTGGAAGGAGCACAATGGAGTTGATTATAGTTAGTATTAGGGACTGCCCCGCCTCGTGAGAAAAGCTTCACAGGATCGAGAGAGATAATGGTTTTCATAAGGAGACGAATTTTGTTGTCTTTCCGTAGTATCTTCATGAGAAGCAATACGAGGCTAGTCATAGGGTGGTTTGTTCTTTGAAGCAGAAGGCTGCCGGAAGGTCTCGTTAAGAGTGAATTGATATCGGCAGCGGCTAGTATAGGAAGAAACTGGTTTGGAATAGGAAAGAGTTTCAAGATGGGATTGCCTCAAGTGTCGAGTGCCGAAGAGGCAGGGGAGAATGTTGGAGCAGCCGCTGTGCAGCGCCTATGCTCACTACCTGGGCCTCAGTTCTATCGTACTGCTGGCCAGGACAGTGGCAGAGGTGTGAATGTTAGAGATAGAGATGGGGCTGCACCCGGGCCCCTGCCTTTGGTGGGGTTGAAAGGAACTCTGAAATCGCTGGCAGACAAGAGTCCACCAGGTCGGAAGGGGTATATTGAGTTTTGCGATTGCACGAGCTTTGATAGTTCTTCGTCCGGTCAGCTTTGCAGCTCACACAGCAACAGGGATGTTGAAGTTCAGAAAGAAGCTTGGAAGTACCCTCCAGGCGCCGGTGGAGGGAGGGGAAGAGGGCTTGGAGAGAAACTCAATCAGACAACAAGATCTCTTATATCCGTCAATAGTGCAGTCCCAGCTTCTTCAACAATAGTGGGGTTCGATTCTCGGAATTCTTCCTCTCCTAGAACCTTGAAGCCCACCAGCTGGGAGAAGGATGTTGACTCGTTGTTGCCCTCGTTGCATGAAGTTGCTGTTGCTAACAAAGGAGCAAATGGCGAGCCACTTGAACACGAGCTGCGAAGGAGAACATCTTCTCCCCTTGCTGATATGCTTGCGTCTGGTCCTAACGCTGGAATTTTGGACTACATTGCAGACGACTTGGATGAAGTGTTAGAGCATGGCGGACATAGTGAAGTAGATGGTGCCACTGGTAGTTCCTGTAAATACATTGCTTTCAGTTCAGTGAATTCAGTAATAAGTAATCCTGTTCCCATACCTGGAGCGTTCGAAAGGGATCGAAGTCGAGGAGAAGCAACTAGAGAGTTTGTACGTGCTCCAACCGATGGGCCTGTTCTTACCGACAGGCCCGAGAGAACTGGACTGGAGGCTCGAGTCTCTCCGGGTGCTTCCTCGTTTGAGCGGACGAGTGAGAGAACTCTGGAGCAGCACAGGCCTGGGATGCTAGATTGCAAGTCGAAGTGGTCTTTCTCACCTCGGCCGGGCCTGTCACCAATTTTGTCCCTGTCCCCTCTTGGTCCTCGACTTTTAACCTCAATAGGAGCTGAGCAAGTACTCAGGAGGTCTTTTGAACTGAATAACTCGTTGGTATCTCCTCCAAGGCCAACGCGATTGAAGGGGGTCGGATATGATGAAGAAAATGACGACAGTAAATCCGAACACTTGAAGGAAGAGGAACTCCGAGATGAATGTAAATATAGCTGGAGTACCCCTCGGAAACAAGTTACTTACAGTGGATCAAGTTGGGGTCTCGAGGCGACTTCTGCTCCATCGGTCGTCGGTATCAAGAGTACTGGAGGCGCAGCTTTGCTGGTTACCAGACGGTCTCTTGTTGGCTCGTTTGAGGAGTCACTGCTTTCTGGACGGTTCCTTGCTGGGAAGCCCTGCCAGGTAATTTTCTGAAATACGTGGTTCTCCGCGTTTCGAATCGTAGTCATTGTAGTATGTCTGTAGACAGTGTACAATATATTTTACGTCACTTTCAGATCATTGCATATGATTGAAAGCATGTGCCACAGGATGCCCCACCATGCAACTATTTACCGTCCTTCAGTTGCTTCATGTTGGTCTAGGTTTCGTAGCCGGGAGTTTCATTGGGGCTTTTTCTGTGATGTGCAGCGACTAGATGGCTTTTTAGCATTGCTCACTGTTTCCGGCGGGAGCTGGTCACCTCCCATGAAAAGACTTCCATTTTCTGTGACTTGTGTTGATGGAGATAGTTCCCTTATGTACTATGCTGCATCCATCGATCTTGCTGGAAGTGTCGTGGGAAACAAGTCTAAGCTAATCCGAAATCGAGTTTGTGATTCTTCTCGAGGAAGCAAAAGTCGATTTCGGATTCCTGTCCGTGGGCGAGTACAGTTGGTGAGTTCTCTTTGCAGTCCTACTGGTCCTTTGTGGTCTTTGTACGTGAGAAAGATGATCATGGCATGTACAGAACGTGACAGTTTTAACCTACCTTATTGAAACTCACGGTCTAGATAGCCTCATTGTGCATGTTTTGATCCATATTTGGAATTGAGATCTCCCAATTTGAACCAGGTATGTTTGATCGGCTAAGTTAGTCAGAGTTCTCTTCAGTTGAAGCTTCGATGTTTGGTCCATTCATGCTATCGTGCTTGGTTCTGGTCTCCGTGCGATCGGAAGGCGATATGCTTTACTGGTCTTCCAAACCTCTTGAGCGGAATGTATAATCCCTTGCAATCTAACAATCATTTCATGGTTGTTCTGGAGCCTCTTGAGCATTAGTTTCCTGGAGTTCATGCCTTTTCCTTCCTTCTATCGTGCGTCAGATTGTATTCAGGATTTTCTTTTTTGCCTCCCTTGGACACTAAATCTGCAAGCTACCCAGGTTCTTAGTACTTTGCAGATATATAAGGTCTGTCGTTTAGGTATTTGCTGGTGATTTTTAAGTTCGTATATTTGCTTCTTAGTGTTCCATGTTTTTAGTTTTCAATGTAGTAGTGACGAAAATAATCACTAAAAATAGAAATCACTAAAAATCTCACTAGTGATTTGTATGTCTCCACTTGCAAGTGAGCGTTGCCTAGATAGTTAGCATCCTCTTTTGGATTCACCTCCGTTTACAGGAGAATTGTCACCCCCTTGGCCGTCTTGGATGCAGCACAGTAGACGTTACTTTATCTAGCTGTTTTCATGTGGGAAATTTGAAATGGTTTTTTTCTCTTCTTAGACGATGATGTTTATTTCTTGTTTGGTTTTGTTCTGCAAGATGATTTGCACTTGCAGGTTTACTTGCAATCTCATCCATCATGACTAAAAAATGCGGTGCTTCAGCTATGAACTCCTCTGGTTGCATCTGTTAACCATTTGATATAATCTATGTGTGGACAGGTTTTGAGCAATCCAGAAATGACTCCTGTCCACACCTTCATATGCAGTTACGATCTGTCTGATATGCCACCTGGGACAAAGGTGTGTTTATGGGGAAGTCCAAGTGGATTGATAAGTATGTTCTTGGGCATCTTATGCTTGTAATACATTATTACTGCGAGCAGGTTAGAGTACACTCATTGCAGACAGCTTCGATGAAATTGTCGCTCTAGTCATGTGTGCTCTTTTGATGCCTTTGAATTGCTTTGCAGACGTTTCTACGACACAAAGTATCTTTAGCTCCCAGTACCTCAAAAAGAGAGATCATTACAGCTTCAGGGAGCCTAAATTCTTCACAGCCTTCTCGTTCAGTACGTTCGGGTCCCAGATGTAGTTTCTCCAGTTTCAATGGAGGCAATAGCAACCCAAAAGACGGGTTGGGAGTGTACAGCAATCGAACGTGGGAGGAGGCAAAGCTGTCTGATGCAGGTACCCAGTCAATCGGAAGTAGAAAAAGCTCATCCAAACCTGTGTGTAGTTGCCCAGATAGTTGCAACCACGAAGCTCTCGATGTTGCTAAGTTTTCTGGACGATCGTGTTCAAGCCTGATTGAATGCGATAAGTTGAATGGGCGAAGGGATGATGATTCAAACGATGGAGCACATAATCGGATCAATAACACCGTCGTTCATGAAAATTCAGAGGGTTCAAATCGGAAAGAAGAACAGAATTATCAAGAATCGGATCTCTCCCGTTTTTCAACAACGGGTCTTAGCATGGAAAGTGCCTCAGCACACCTCAACAGCCCTGGAAGTGTAAAAGGCCTGTATAGTGGAGGGAGCTCACTTCGATATGCCCTCCATCTTCGTTTCATGTGTCCCTCTTTAAAGAAGGATAAGACCTGTGGACTACCTTCTGTCCAAACACCGGAGTCTTCTAAAGTACCTCCATCCGGGGCGAACAAGGGGACAGAAGTGAAGGATGAACGACGCTTCTATATTTACGAGGATCTACGCGTCGTTTTTCCACAGAGGCAGTCTGATTCTGATGAGGGCAAGGTACAGTTACTGGCTTTTCCATGTTTGTTTCTCATATTGTTTTCTTGCTAAACTAAATATTGCCAAGGAAGCTTGTTAGAGGTATTTTTTCAAGGTTCGTGTCGTTCCTTGTCGTGAATAGGTTTCTGATATCGATATTAATTTTTTTATCTCTGGGTTGTTCGGAAATCAGTGAAGTTCTTGCTGGGTGGCTTGCTTCATCTTACCTGACCATGGGCATATTGCATCCATCGTCTCATTATGTATGAATTGCATGGTCTCTAGGTAGCATTTGCTCTTTGCATTTTCATTCAGCTCGAAGTTAGATATGAGTGGGCAGGCACTAATGGGATCATAGCAGAGGATATCGGTGTCTGACGTGTCCGTCTTGGTCTCTTGTCGGTTGACTTCTTGGGAGTGGTTCATGTTGATCTGTATTACAATTTGAACAAGAATTGTAGTTTTTGTTTGAGGAGAAGCTGCAGAATGAAAGACTCTGCTTGTATCCTGGCTCCTTTCATAGCGGACAATCGGAGTGAGTACATGATGCAGAGATGAGTAGCATCCTGTACGTTGACCGTTGACCACTTCTGAAACGACTACTACTAATACGACCGCTACACTCAGCACAATTTACCTGGTCTGGAAGCTGTTTGGTAAGGTTGAGGTGAAAGTTTTTTAAGTTTGTAAGAAAGAAGGTACCTGATTAAAGTACCCAGATGAGCATATGGATTTCTGTTTGACTTCAATTGTACAGATGTTTCTGTCTGAAAGGGATTGCAAAGATAACAATCTCCAGACAGTTTTATCGAGGAACCCGTTTGATATTGTTGGGGTGTTTTAGCTACAATCAGATTTCAGATTATTTTGTTGTTCGCCGTTGTAGCCTGTTGGCGGCTGCTTGCTGGCTCGGTCTGACGTCGATCGTTCTTAAGCTAGCTCTTCAAATGCTTTCAAATCTGTTAAGCAAGGCATGAGCAAATTAAGCTGTAAGAGTAAAACAAACATGTAAATTGTAGCACAGAATCCTCTTTCGTGAGGTCTTGTGCTGTGAATGCAATCAGTGATTGTGGAAGTGCTTGATGGCAGCAGCAGTAATATGGAAAAAGTGTGCGAAGGCAGTAACTTGCTTTCTTGTGTAATATGCTCTTTAGAATGCCGATACCGTGTTTTAGCCAAACCTTATCCGGAGACAGGAAGCCTCACGTTGCGATACAAGTCATGGTGTTCGTATTTCTGGGACGATTTGAGCCATGAACCGGCAACGCCGTCACTGCCCTCGATTTTTATTTAAGCTCGGTTAGGAGAATTTGGAACTACTTGCATTGGTTGAGCTTGGACTTGAGAAGTTAGACAAATGTATGCGCGTCTGTCTTCTCTAAACACAGTGTCGGAGGTTATTGATGGCATCTTGCGGTGGGTATTGGTCAATGTGGCAGCTGCAAGTGGAGTACGATTTTCCTGCAGACCCCAAGTACTTTGAGTACAGCTGATAGCTCATTATCAAAAGCTGCTGCTCAAGCTTTTTGTAGGGCATCTGCTTTTAGCCACAAACAGCCCTCTTTCATTATTTTGGGGTTTGCTCACATCCTCCTTGTTGTCAGGATTCTTTGACAACATAGGGCTCTGAGTTTTGTGTCTCTGAATGTACATAATTTCTGTAACACTTGATTCTATTTTCCTTGACACTCAACACCATCCTATGATTGAATGAGCAGTGATGTTTATTCCAACGAGGATAATAGATGCAAGGACGTTACTGCTTTGAAGGGACACCAATGCATGAAAATGTGCGTTGGAATTGCTGTCATAGAAACCATGCACTGGAGCGCAACATGACAAACTTTGCCTTTTGAGGATTCGATGTAGTGCTAATCATCTCGAGACCCTCCATGAGACCGTAGGTGCGCTGCTGCCCTTGAAATATATCTCATCGCACTACAGGCAGGAAAACACTATGAGACATCAGTGAGATGACGGATACTCATCCTATCATGCATGACTCGATGATACTGTCGCATCTGATTGAGAGGTGTTGCCTTGTACAAATATCTGAACTTCTGTTCACGCTTGTTCTCAATAAGACTGCAGGTCGAAAACACTGTCCTTTTCACTATGTGGCTTTCTCTTCCCTTAAAAACATCTCATCGTGAATTTCATGAATATAAAAGGATTTGGTGACGGTTGAAGTAAACTTGTGTCTTTCATAACTTGTTGTCGGGAGCAAATGTTGGTCATAATTGATTGCCGTTGTGCGATGAGAGAGCAGGAATGTTCGAGGCGGATGTCATGTAACTCGGTATCGTCATATATCATACATCGCGGACATGTTTTATTCACTCACATACATATATAAAGAATGAAAATGTACACACACAAGTACGACTCGATATTGCCATGAATGAAGGTGTGTATATACGTGCAACTCGGTATCAAAATATATCTTTCAGTGACATGTTTTATTCAACCATTCATATATATATATATATATGCATAAAGAATGAAAATGTACACACACAACTGCAACTTTATATTGCCATGCATCATAAACAATGAAAGTGTACACACACCTACGACTCGGTATCAAAATACATCATACAACTCTAACATGTTTTACTCATCCATTCAGATATACATACATTAAAAATGAAAGTGTACACACACAAAGGTATCAAAACCAAAATCTGGTGTGCAAGATAACACAAAAAGTCCACATGGTAGTCGAGCGAGCTCACTCCAATCGAAGACGTAAAATCAAAGCTAACGAAAACTAAAAGCTTCCTACACAGAAGGCTCAACTTGAGAATTGATAGTTCTTCAAGGTCGTCTCGATTATACTCCCAATGGAGCGTCGATCTAACTTCAATGTAACTCGCTACCTAACGTCTATCAACTCAAATCCAAACTAACGTATCTACACATGATAGCTGTCCTGCAACTTAGTATCTCCATACATTATACATCTCTGACATATTCTTCTCACCCACTCACACATACATACAGAAGTAACAATAGTGTACACACACAAAGGTATCACAACTCGCTCCCTTAGTTGGCAGTCAGGTCCATGTAACTCCCGGTAGTCCTACTTACAACTACATGCTATGCATCTTCGTGGGTGCGCGAATAAGTAGACCGGATGTTATGTTGCCTCATCGTTAGTCGCCTATCTACAATTCATAACATGTGAAGATCAAGTCAACTACACTCCACAGTACATCGAGGACAAATGCATCGTCCATTAGGAACAACATCGATAGATGGAATCAGGCACGACATGTGACATCCCCTATAACACCTATCACACACCAACATATTAGCCGCCTTATCAACTGATGCACATAACATGCACCTCAAGCCGACACGTACAATTGCCAAGCTTGGATCCATAGTGCCATCCACATTTGGGAGGTGACATGACGCACAGTTGCGCACATGATCATTCCAAACAACATCGTCACGACCCTCCAACATGAGAACTCTAGAAGCTAACATCTCCCGTAGTCACCATGCCAGCGTCATAATTCAGCGTGAGACCATGAGTTTTTGGTCTTGTCACACAAGATCAGAAACTCTGTTCCCTGATCGGTCAACACCTCAGCTAGTGCATCAAAGTGATTAAGTACCATGTCAAGGCATGCGCTACTCCCTCACTCGCTTTATCAAGTAATGTCACCAACTCAATCCACTTGGAGAAATGCTCCACGATCACCAACACGTATTGATGATGTCATACAGTAAGAGATAATGGTCCAGCAAAGTTCAAACTCCGATATTAACTCTATCCCATTATAGTTAAGCGATGTAACTCTGGAGTCGGAGCATTGAAAGATGTCTTCACTCGATTAGAAACCATGTAATGTGATACCAACTGTTGTATCTGCGTATGCATACCATGCCACCAATACTGACAATGGAGTATGATGTATGTACGTTTCACTCCAAAATGTCCGAAATCCTCATGAGCATGCCTCACAATGCGTGCTCTCTTAGTTGGATGCGGATTTACTCGTACCATACCGTACTCCCACACTCTGTGAACATGTGATCCCTCCAATCTGTATCTCTTTGCCTAATGGAGAACACGCTTTCGCTCCTTGTCACCCACTATGCCTGACATCATACTGGTCCGTAGCAACTTCAACACCAATGCATCATAGTGAACATCACGCTGATCCATACCACCATCCTTAACCTCACGATCTGAAGATTGACCATTCACTCTCTAACTAGAGTACAATGTCAAGTTGTGATAACCAACAAATATCAAAATGGAGCATAATGGTATAGATTCGTTACCACAAAAACAAATGCAACACCAAGAGTCACGATTTGTCACTAATTAACATTCTATTGAATAGTTTTACTTCTCAAGCACATGTCACTCCGAAAAGACACTGCTCAATTGCGGTCGAAGATCCAAAAAGCAGAATATTATCATCCATAGTCATTCATGGGAGGCCCTTCCAAATGCTGAAACAACCCCTTTCATGCAAAGAAGGGTGTAAACAATGTGGGATTACACAAAAAAACTACATATAACACCACATATCGAACTCTTGAATAAAATCATCCAACTCAATGGTGTCCACTGCACCAAAGTACCGCTGCTGGACCTTCAAAGCCTCGTACATTCCGTCCATGTCCCAAATCAACGAGTTTGAGACACTAGACAATATCACCACAGAAGATCCGGCATCCGCAACACTCTGCTACTCCGCAACAACTGAGGATATAGATAGAGGTAGCCTATACCTCAACCCACATTGCGTAAATCCCCCACGATCCTTGACGGAACCATCAAACTGCTCCGTGACGACCAAATCATCAACATGCACCACTGCCAAATCTCCACGTGATCTCGTCCCTGCACCAACCTAATCTAGCTCTACTAGCTATGGGTATGGGTAACCTAAACTATCATCATCGCAAGAAAACTATCACGATCCACTAGTCATCACTCCAATCTCATCGTGAGAGAAACAAAGATAGGTCGGCCGATGATCAACTCCAGCCACACTATCGACAGCACACATGAGTAAAACTACTCCAGAAACCAACCTCAATCCATACACGGCCGCGCATCAACAAGCAAGACTGGAAAGGATCCAAACACAAGCAAACAGCTAGCAACAACTCTCCAGCCTAAATGAAACACAACACAGAACAACACAACATACTGGACATCGCCTCGCATAGCGCCCCCGAGTTGAACTCCATCGCTCCCTATCATCTTCTGCCTCCAACGCTTGCAATGTTATCTCGTTCACCAAGTAGCAAAGATAATATCCACGCCAAGTTCTCTCGTACTTCACCTCATACCTCCACTCCACACTACAAATAGGGGCAAGGAATGTAAACACAGTCTATTTTTCCTAAGTGTTCCTCATATAAAAAAGAATAAAGAAAAAATCATTATTTTCACAATCAAGAAACCATAGTAAGTGAAACCGGGTGCAGACTCTCAGTCCCTTCAGAATATTTTTATATTTTTATTTTTTTTTTCAAGAAAAAGAAGAAGTCTGATATAAGTTGAAAGAGTCCATCATACATTGTCCAAAAACTTTGCAAAGTGGTTGAAATCACTTCTCAAAATTTATGTTTAGCCTACTCCCAATATGTGCTATTCAAAGAGTTTCGGATTGAGATTGAAATTGTTGAATCTTTTGAATCCACTCAAATGTATGTCCTTACTTCCAAGAATCCAATAAACACACCTAAAAAATATTGCAAGAGTTGGTTAATTCAGCAAGAGAACCCGTTGGCTTGAGAAAGCCAAATCGATCGGCTGATATTAGAGGAGGGACAGGCCCAGGTTCAAATTCAAGCTTTTTGATCCTTTTCTTCTCAGCCTCTAAAATGTTGTGGGTCCCATTCATACTCCAACCACATGTACTTCTTGCTTAAGAACTTCGAAACAACTACCTTCTAGAATGGTACACCTAACTTACCTCTACTACTCCTCAACAGGGAGACTCAAGATGTTCTTCCACAAATGAGTGTGTCTAATAGTTTACTTTCATCCAGAATTCAGGCAAGAAAAATAATTACAATATAGTGGGCATTCGGTAAATAGCTATGACATGGCATGAAAAATATGTCGGAGAGATGAAAATAGCTTTGAGATTCTAACTCTATATTTCTACAAAAAGGATAGCAAAAACTACCTCTTTCTTCTTGATCTACAAGTACTCAGCCTTCCTGCTCTGCATGATCCAAGTATAGATTGATGTAGTGGCAAATATTTCATTCTAGCAACATTTCGCATTTGTGGAATCACTACCGAAGAGAGGCACTTGAACAAGATTTTGTAGAAATTAGAATATTCTTGCTTGTTGAACAACTCACTCACGAGGGAAGTCTGTGGGCGGCAAGCACGATTCTACATTCTTTCACAAGTTCCACATTTCTCTCCCATTGACTGTTTTTTTTTTTTTTTTTACAGTTTCAGAACAATCCAACACAAATGCCGGTCACTCCTCTTCTTGATAACCTTTTTGATGTGAAAGTTTTCAGTTCAGTAGCCTCTAATATAGCTACAATTGAAGATCACGTGCAGGTGATCAGCACGTCAAAGAGTTGTTCAGTCCACAGAGCAATCAATCCTAATCATACTAAAGCTCTACGAGATCATGGAGGGAAACGAATGGTGGCTGCTCTCCTCAACACCGCCTGACGATCCGTGAGAAAGTGATATGACCGTTCAAGAAGAAGTTTCCTCCGAGAAATACTCACAACACTTTTAGAACCGGCTTTGAATTGCCGGCAAAATGGTTACAAATTCCTCTTAACAGTCAAGGAGCAAGAACGTGCGGCACAATATAGATGAGGTGACAAAGACCAACGCAGAACTGAAGCAACACGATGACCTCTTGCAACAATGCACTATATTACGCCAAGAACATATAGTCTCTACTAGACAAACGAGCACAGCTTTGAACCCGGCCAAATTCCTTTCCACCTAGGCAAAACAAATCCTCCGTCTCATCGTCGACACCTCGCTCAGCATAACCTACGCACTCTTGAGTCTCTCGCGCGCCCGGCCTTCCTAAGCTTCATTAAGGTCCACTTTTGTTTGAGAGCAAAAAGGTGTGCTCAACCTA